GGTCCATCAGTGGATTCGCTCTGCCATCCGTGATTCACAACAACCAATCTCTCCTATAGATTTCCTATTTTTGGAACTTCCGCCACCGCCTTGTGCGGTACTACTGGTATATACATGGGATGTTGGATGGGATCTGGATGGGACTTAAGGATGTTTAGGGGACCGCTAAATTGATATTCATGATATATGGAAATAAATCGATGGGATTGATATTTTATGTAGATTGCGGGAAATGGATGGGATATCAATGGTATATATATATATATGACCCATGGATATTTGGGGAGTTCCCCTTCGGTATCATCAAAGATCGCTCGCTGGGAAATCCTCGAACTAACCGAGGACTTTTTCAGCAAGCCATGGAGCTGATTTCCAGAGGCTAAATCGGGGTTCAACCATCAAAACATGGGGCAGAACTGATCATACTGATGTTAGACGGCTGGCTGGCTGGATGGGATGGGGTTTAACAAAAACTTGTGCAACCAACGGTTCTATGTGCATATAGGTATGCATATACACATATACATGTACGTACACACACATATATACATAGTTACATAGAGACATATATGTATAAATATGCATACGCTGCATATGCATGTCCATATACATATGAATGGATGGGGATGGATTTGACCAACAATACGGTATGGGGGTATCAAAGGAACCATTAAAGATGAGGATAAATCATAGTGGATGGATGGATGAGTGGATGGATTGAATTTCAGAAACCCGAATGGGTTCTATATTGGTTCTATACATATGGATATATGGATAACTACGGTTCTGAATCATGCTACAAAGGTATGGGCTTAAGCTACATATGAGACTGATAGATGCTGGGCGGGGTGGTTCAACCAACCCCAAACAAGAAACCAACACCTGGGGATATATGATATACTCTTTGAAATGGCGAAGTTCTAACAGGTCAGTTTTTCGTGGCATATTCGTGGCTACCAGACCAAGGTTCACCCAAATCATACCCAGAATTTGAGGGACTATTTGCAGGAACCCCACATTCTGGATGGTCATGCCAATCCTTGGGCATATGAGCCAACAACCTGCACAACGCCATTGAACCTTGCGTCGCATCAACAAGTGAACATTTTTGGCCGGTTTGGAAGCACACTCCCAGATCGGACCCGTTCAACTACCCACTGGGAGTTTTGTCAACATTGAGCTACCGAAGGGATGGTACAAGGATGCTTCACTTTTGCGCACAAAAACTGTCCCAAGGATTCGCAGATGGGGATGATCGGGAGGTTTAAGATGAACAAGATGGACAAGCAGGTTTTGCTCGAAACCATTGCCAATCTTAGATACCCTGCAAAAAAATAAATTCTTTGCTGGTTAGTAGATATTCCCATTAATACCAAAAGACTAAAGGATTAAATCCTCAGAATTTTGAGCAAATCCTCAGCCAGGTTGCCAATGCCACGCCTCTCGCAGCTGTGGAGCCTGGCGGAGATTTCCCTAACTCTTGGTGAAGCAAAGCAAGCATGGTGGATGTTTTTATTTTGGGGAATTTGATGCGTACATTGCGAAACGACCCAAGAAATGGGATGGTGATGTGAAACCAATCAGCTGGGTGAGAATGGGATGGAACACATGGTTACGACATGAATTATAGTGTGGATGGGAAATCGTGGACATTTGGGAAATGGTTGGGACGATGATGGGCATCTCGTTTTTTTGGGTTGTTGACGTTTACATCTTTCATTGCATGTTTTCTATGTGAATTTCGTGATGCATCATGAGGGTAAGGGATAATAATACCAAAGTCCACCACTCAAAACCAGATACAATCCATATTATCAATAATAACTCATTATCCATATTATCCATATATATCAACCATATAAGGGTATATATAATACCACAATGTTGTTTTTCTTTCTGTTGGTTAAAAGCACCATCATCCTTTGGATTCCCATCCTTTCAACTCATCCTGGCGCCTCCTGCGCGTTGCGCTTGTCGCTTTCCAGGATGCGATTGCCGCGGTCGCGGCGCTTGAAGAGACGTAGCAGAGCCGAGAGCTCCGCAGGGGCCAGGCCTGCGCTCGAGATAGGGCGGAAAGGCTGGCAGATTTTGAGAACCAAAATCCAAAAAGATAGGAACAATTAGGTTGTATATATATATACATAACAATAATAATCAATAATAATCAATATTTATCAGTAATACAATGACACTAAATGACAATATATATATATCATGTATATATATATACACACAGTATACATATGTATGTATGTATGTATGTACGTATGTACGTACGTATGTACGTATGTACGTATGTACGTATGTATGTATGTATGTAGGTATGTATGTAGGTTTGTAGGTATGTAGGTATGTACACATAAATAATGATCATAACAGTAATAACTCTGTATATAATAACAACAACAGTAGTACTGATGACTCGACAATATCCGACAATAATTGATAAACAACAATTAATGTAATGATGCCAACCACCAACATTATTTCCAACATATAATATATGTAAGAAACATGCTGAGAATGATAATCATAATGATAGTAAGACAAGAATGAACATTATAGATCATGATAATGACTACTGACAATGATAATAAGAATGATAGTGCTCATGATGATGATAAATGACTGCAACAGTAATGAGGGCTGTGATCTGTATTGGGATTAATATCAATGTTAGAGAGAATAGTCACGAGGGTTTGTCGTCTGTAACAGGAGAATCGTCTAGACTTACCATGCTCTGTCCCAACATCAAATTTCATAGCAGGGGTCATGGTTATACCATCTGATTCATGGGGATTACTATGGGATTACTATGGGATTGTGACCGGTGGCCGTGATTAGATGAACATATGGCACATATGGCGATCACCACTCTGGATTTTACTGGTTTTAACGCCGGTAGCCGTGGATGTTCATCGATGGTGTCATCGGTTTGAAGCCATCTCCATGCACCAATAGTCATGATGGCTACTTTTCTAGAAACTGTGACACTGTGCTAGCACATAGTGGTGGAAACTGGTTTCCAAAACCCAGTTTTCAACTCCCTGCAAACTTTGAATTCGATCATCTTGACTCCAAAGCACCACTATATCAGCAATCCAGACAACATACCACCATCTTCTGATACGAGGAACAAATCTCACACCTCTTGCATGCCATGAGTGGCCATTTCAGCTCGGAAACGTGGTTGGAGAGAAATTCAATCTCAGCCACTCTTTGGGCACAAGGCATTCTAATACATGCTATGAATAGACACCATGTGGAAGTATAGGGACGCGTAGACTCTTTCCCTTCGAAATGTCAACATTCTCTTTACGAGTTTCTTTGTCGCATCGAGAACTTTTAAGAATATGTCTCTACTTAACCCCCACCATGCAATACGAGTACCTGTCTGATCCATGCTTCCAAGATGAGCAGTACACATCTTTTTGGGCCTTGCTGTTGGCAAAGAAAGTGAAGAAAATGACCAACACCTCAGATGACACATCTTGGAACTTGTGGGTCATTTTCTGCTTAGGACACCTCTTGGCCACATGTCATCTGTTCATTTGAAGAGTTGCCACTGGCCCCAAACGAAGGGCTGGCTCATATTTTACAACACATTTTACAACACATTTTACAAATTGTCTTTGCTATAGCTGAACAAAACAAAGCTGATCAACCAACGATTTTCCCGGGAGAAACTCCACTCACCTCACCTGGAAAGATCTATTCCGGCCCCAAGCTTCGGGACGACGGCAATGCTTGCTATTTATTAACCGGATTGCAATCCTTTCCAATTTGCCAGTGCCTTTCTCAATTGTCTCCATCTTTTTAGCTCCTATTCTCTTCCAATGAGTTTCATAAATTGGTCATTTTGGTCACCACAAAATGACCAGCGGTGTCGGTGTCATCTTCAACTTCGCCACACATGGCGGTCTTCGTGGCGCTGATCGTGTTGGTCTCGTTGTTTTCGCCAGCTCTCAGCTGGTAACCTGATGCCATGGGTTGAAATATTGAAAAAACCGGGGGGCTGGTGCCATGGAATAAAACAGACATCTCCAGGGCTGGTGGAACTTCACAAAGCCATGATAAGAAAATCTGAATGTCAATTTCGGCGAAAAACCCAAAAAATAGAAGAGCAATGAACACATGAAGACACCCCTAGTACCTTTTCAGTTCACACCAATCACCCAAAACGCCGCTATAGCTGGATCATTCTGGATGTTCATCCCCCTACATGGTCCCAAAGGTATTGTTTCATCCCCACCTATCCATGGCTACTCCCCTCAACGCCAAAAAGTGGACCCGTTACACTATCCTTCACTAGTCGGTTTTCTCAGTAAAGCATCCAATACTTCCCCGATGACTGTTCTTATCATCCCATACTTCGCCATTTGGGTGATGATATTCAGCCAGGCTTCACACCTTTGATGGCTAAGTGCCCTTTCATATTTTCTGGCAAAAAAAACGCCCCGTTTTATCACTGGTTGAATCCGCTGAATATATGGCGTTGCTGATGGAGATTTCACCACCAAAATGGATGGGAATATATATATATATATATATTATAATATGGGTTTGTCTGAAAATAGTGTACCCCTACACCCAATGGTTTTGCTGATCATTATCCCTACTAAATGGCTATTTCATTGGGGGTATACCCCATTTTCAGACATACCCATATATGTGTTGCGCTTCATTTCTGCCGGGGCCAGATACTCTTCTGTTCAAAGCACTGTGCTGTTCTGAAAAGCTTTGCCAGCACACAGCTGCGCATCCACTCCTCAAGTTGGGAGGGAAAATTCATAGGGATGGGTCACTTGAGCATTATGCCCGCGGCCCCTTAATTCATTTGCTTCACAAACCCCTGTGAACAGGAACATGTTGCGCTTCATTTCTGCCGGGGCCAGATACTCTTCTGTTCAAAGCACTGTGCTGTTCTGAAAAGCTTTGCCAGCACACAGCTGCGCATCCAAAATCAGTTGTGCACAGAATGCTCTGCCAAATGGGTCTCTGGCTAAAGGCCTTGAAATCGTTTCCATAGCTTGGCTGCCGTCGGTGCCATCAGCGCATGTTGAAAAGCAATTGCCAACCGTTGACAAAGAGAAGGGGGATATGGTTGTGCTAGTAAAGTACGAAACTGCCCCTCTTCGGTTCCTTGAAGTTGTTGGTGCCGTACTCCTGTTCGGCAACAAAGTCCACGTCGCCCACAACAATGGCGTAGACAGTGCCTCAGATCAACATTGCACCACAACAGACGGGTTCGTTTGCGAAAAGGTTTACCATCTTGACAAAAATCAGTGAAGCCATGATCACAAAGACGATGATGTAGGAGATGTTGTATGGGTCTAGCCAACCATAACCTTGACGTGTGAGGGTTTTCCAAAGTAATGGGAATTTTCAACTTCATGCAAATACGAAAGATCTTAGCCGAGAATGCCATCAAGATGTTTCCCACACGAACTCTTTCTGCATCTTTAACAGATAAATTGTGGTATCCCATAAGAAAACAATCATCGTCACGAAGGGGGCCTGGTCCACGCCCATCCCATCTGCGAGCCCTAGACCAACTACTGCATGGTGTGCCTAACCAAACATACGCGACCCGACCTGACACTAACAGCTTGATCAACTCTTTTTGGATGGATGGTTTGGTCAAGTCAAATTGAGGGCCATGGTTGATGTCCACTTCAACGCATAAAACTCCTTTTGCACGTCTTCGCATGGCTCGTGAAAAATGTCCACTGCCGCTGAAGATTTCCAAACCTATCATGGAGAAATTTTGCCGATTCAGGTGCCAGCATCTAAAGTCTCTGACATCCATAACTCGGCCTGTGTGGCCTTGGTCTTTGCCTCCAACGGGAGCTCCTCGAACACTTGGGAAATGCGGCCGCCGTTGGAGTAGCGGCGGACGCTTTTCTGAGATTGCCATCGCCCCCGCTTCATCACGGTGGTGAGATCGCGGAGCCCCGTGAGGACGTCTGTCGACGCGCTGCCATGTCGCAGCTGATAAGTGCACACAATCCCCACTTTGTTGTACTCGTTCTCCACAATGCTCTTGTTGAAGTGCATGGTGGCATCGTGCATGCTGAAGTCGAACAGCAGGTCCTCCGGTTCCTTGTGCTTGGCATACTTCTGCAGCATTGGTCCTAGCCCCTTCATGTAAGGCTGGTCTATCATCACTGCCTCGTCCAGCTCTCCTACCTTCGAGGTCTGCTTGGTGTCGGGCAGGAGCTCTAGCTTGCCTGTCGGGCTGACAAGTCCCTGCAACTTGGGCTTCCCCGCATTGAGGATCACAATCCACAGGGGACACATTCGGGAAGGCGGAACAAGGTCCTTCTTTCGAAGTTTCAGTCCCTCTCCCGGCCGACAGCACGTGGCCCACACCACCAGCAACCACATGGCCACGGCTCGAGCTTTGTGCCAAAGCTCCTTCACCACCACGCAAAGCATCGGATAGGGCATTGGCAGGCGCCCCTGGGCCGGCTCCAACTTTCTGAACCCCTTCATGGCCTCCATGGACTTGGGGAGGTCGGTTGTCCGGGCCACATCGTCCCGGTGATACCTCACTGATGCCATCAAAGTCGCGGCGTCTGCTGGATCCTGTCCCTCGAAGTACATCACATTGAGCTTGTTGGTGACCGCGTGGTCCAGGTCTGACAAACTCGCGACAGGGAGGCCATTCAGTACCGCCCACCGGCTGAATCCAGCCCATGCCTTGCCGTAGCTCTTCTCCCTGCTGGTGGTCACGGCCCGGCGCTCCAAGAAGGTCTTGTCGCCCTTCTCCATGATGCCGGGAGGAGGTCCATGTAGCAGGGCCCTCTGTTCTGCTCTCTGCTTCTTTCGCTGCTTCACCTTCCCATCTTCTATCACAAAGACCATCTCCAGTGGGTTCACCACCGTGTCGTCCAGGCCATGGGAACTGCTTGCCAAGGCTGGTGTGCCGGAGATAGAAGCGGGCTGCCGAGCTTCTCCACCCGGCAGCCTTTTCACTCCCCTCTGCAACATAGCCTTCAAGAAATTTCCAAAGACCGTCGCGCAAGTTGAAGGAAGCCACACTTTGAGCCCGCGATGGGAGATCTGCTGGATTAAGTTCTGATGGTATCCAACGCAAGTGTATGTGCATGCCCGTCATGAATTCAACAGCAGCTACTTGTCTACAAATCCTTGTCATGGTGGAACAACTTGATCTGCCCTTTGCCAGTGCCAACGTGACCGACATGGAATCAGTCAACAGCAAATGCTTCTTCCCAAGGTTCTTCTGTGAACGTGCCAAATGCTGAAGAAGCCAAACAACGCTACGACCTTCTAGGATAGGAATTGATTCAACCCTTTCCCATTTTGCCCCGTCAACGTTTTTCCAGTCTTCCCCAATGAACTCCAAAGGAACTTCCAAGCTGTCCCGCTTCCCTATTGATCCAAGTTGCACAGACGCATCGCTGCTGAGCTCTGAAACCTGGTAGTTCAGCAAGTCAGACTGGATCTCCCCCTTGGGAACAAGCATTTCCTCATCCACATTGAATCTCCATCGGTCACTTCGGCGCCCCAAGCTCTTGATGTCTTTCATCTCGCGCTCGGCTGAGACAATGCCCCGGCCCCACAACGACGCATCAGACGCATGAACCCTGGTGGACCACTCAGCACTGAGATCTCTTTTGAGAAGACATAGCAATGCCGCTGCCCATTTCAACTCACGCTGAACCTCAGGCCACAAATCCACTTCTTCTGCATAATGCTTCCGAATGAAGACATAAGTGGCCTGAAAAACTGACAAAAAACCTCTCCTGATGAGACCTGCAAATGTGAAGTGCCCTACCAGACGCTCGATCAAACGACCACTCCCACGTCCACGACGGATCAGCTCAAGAGTGGCTAGACGCATCTTCCACAGCCTCTTGTTGGTGATGCGCACTGTGGGATGATCAGCTGCAAACAACCATCCAAGGGTCTCCATGCCTTTTGATGCCTCGACGTCATGAGTGGGCAGACCATGCCTGTTCAGCGCTGCCCCAACCATTTCTGCCAAAGCCCTGGCTTTGCCAGATTCCTGCGAAAACGCCACAAAATTGTCTACATACTGTGTGTGAATGTAGTTCCGCATTTCTGGAACTGGTCGACGATCAACACATCTAAGTTCTGGGTCCAGATAAGGGTTACAATCCACCACATGTTCATGTGCCGCTTGACAAAGCCAAAGTGCATGTGTCCAGCCCATGGGGACCACCCTTAAACAAGGATATACTACATCATGAGGTCCAACACCAAGACCCTTGCCTCCGCAATCGCCAATCTCCATTGCCTTGAGACCAGGAAGAGCAAAGTAGGGCCTCAGTTCAGGGATGAGCTGGATGTGGTAAAAGGCGTCAGAAATGTCAACACCTCCAACCTCAATCGCCTCTCCGTTGTCCACCTCAATGCATGCAAACGTTGACCCCGTGGCTAGCTCTACCTTCTCGGGCTGGTCAAAATGAAGGTTTGCCAATCTCGCATCAATCACCAATCTCTGCTTTCCATTCTTTTTCCACACTGTGAACACCCCCACCTGCTGCTTGAAGCTGGTATGAAATTCCACCAAGCCACGTTGATGCAACATCCTACAAAACTCTGCATATTTCCGGGGGCAGTGACGAATTGAAGGGTCCACATAGGGCATCTTTATCTCGCACCCCTCCAAACGTTTCTTCACCTCCACATCAGCCGACACCTTTGACATCAGCCTACGGGAAAATCCCTCAGCTGCCTCACCAAAGATCACCTCCATCGAAGCAGCGGTGCTCCCAGGCTTTGGCAGCGACAACAAGTCTAGATCCATAGGCGCCAGGTTGGCACAGTCGCCATACCCAGGTTTGGTTCGAAGCTCATCTAAGGCTCCCGAACCGGTGATGCCGTCTGGTGGTTTACCAGCATCCAAAACTGCCTGTTTCAAATTTGCCAGGCAAATCTTTTGACTCAAGGTTGGTGCAAAGGCTTCCTCAAAACTGCCCCAATTCTCCTCCCCACTAAACATGCTGTTCAATGCTATCACCACGTCCCGCACCCAAACATCGACTTTGGTCTGCGCCTCCAGCCGTCGAACAACACTCCGGGAGAGGTCCTTGCACTCGCTGGTCGCCTTCTCCACCCGAGGCACAGGGAAAGGAAAAAGACCCCGATGCCGCACCATCGTCAAAGAAAAAATGATGACCGAAGTCAAAATCAAAATTGAGGGACAGGGCCCCGAAAAATCCAAGGGGGCAATGAAGAGGTAGGTCACGTAGAGGCCAAAAACAGACTGGACCTCCCAAAAAGACCGACCCCCCACCACCAGCAAGAAGGGAGTCCAGTACTCCCCCCACAGTCAACACCAAGTTCACTTGTTGAGGGCAGCCCGCTCTTCTCGGGCTTTTCGAACTTGTTTGAGCACCGCTGCCTCCCCTTCCACTTCCTTCGCAACATAGTCCAGAAGCAGTGGGGCCACCATCACATCTCCAAACTCCTTGTGGGCCCCGGCAAAGATCGTTGCCTCGTAGCTCTGCATGGCGGTCATGCCATCCTTCTTGTCAGACTTCGAACTGCCTTTGCCTCCACCAGGACCCCTCTCGCTGTAGATGAACTCTATCAGTTGCAGACGTCGAAAGATCAGCTCGACACCTGCAATGTTGGCCATGTCCAGGGCATCAAAACGCCCCATCTTGTCCACCGCCTTCATCAGTGAGTCATGCTCGGCCACACCCCAAGTATCTGGCTTCAAGGAGTGGGCCTGAACCCACCATCGATGATGCGCCATAGGTCCATCCTTCCTGTTCAAAAATTGAATGCACCAAGCAGCAGTGCGTGGGCCAGGAATGCTCCAATCTTCAAACTTCTCCTCTTTCACTTCCTTGGCCACATCGCGCCACTGCCTCTCCGTCCTGGATGTTCCCTGAAATGACAATGGGAGCAGCCTGGCATCGGCGGCAGCCTCCAAGCCCTTGAACTTGTCAACCTCCGTCTTCTTCATCTTGCGGATGGCATACCCTTCGCCGTCCACAAACTTTATGCCAATGCTTCCATGTAAAACCTCGGAACCATCCAAAACGACCTCTGTGCCTCGCATGCTTTCACCATGACTTTCAACGCGTACCCACACCTCATCTTCCAAAACAGCCCCCACAACCGCGGGAGCAATTGGGGCTGCTGCCCCCATCGGTGCAGCCACTCCGACCCCGCCTGGGACCATTGACATGGCCTGTGCAGCTTGGTATGCATCGCGTCTGAACTGCACCATCATGGCGGCATCGGGCATCTGCTGGAATCGGTAGGTGTTGGCCTGCGTCAGTCCCGCAGGAAGAGCTCCTCCAGCAGCCACTCGATAGCTCCTTAGGTCATCATTTTCAAGTGAAATCTGCTCAGCATATGTGTCAAAGTCTGGTGTCAACACGATGTGATAGCCACGCCCGCACAAACATGAAGCTAGGATATATCGTTCATGATATAGCTCTGGTTCAGGTGGTGCAAGATCGTAACATACAAAAACCCTGGTGCCTTCTGGGAGTGCCATCACGCCTTCAAACTTCGTCTGAGTCTGACGGCCTCAAGCTGTCGAAGAGCCAGTTGTCGCTGACTGGAGTCCTCAGGATTCACACTGTGGGGAATTGAAGGCACTGACAATGGGGTAGGTGTACTAGCCGTAGGCCTTGACAAGCAAGATGTGATCACCTCCAAAAAGACCTTAAAGACCTTGAAGAGCACCACCACTAAATGTCCAGCCCCTATGCCAATGCCCAACACCACTAAAACCAAACTCCGAGTCACCTCCCACCACCAGCTAACTGTTGGACAGATTGGGGGGCTCACTTCACAGCAATGGCACTCCGATGGTCCCTGAGTCCTAGCCAAATCACTCCACCAAGCGGTCACCCAAGCCACAGCTAGCGATACCCAGTTGAGTGCGTCGACCATGGGGGACCCTCGGATTTTTTCACTTGAGCATTATGCCCGCGGCCCCTTAATTCATTTGCTTCACAAACCCCTGTGAACAGGAACATGAGTTTCATCACCTATGGTTTAAACCGTTTTTTTTAAAAATACCTTAGGTTCATTCGCCTTCATCAGCGCATCGATAGGCCAGCTCGAAGTCCAAGCCCCTCCGACGCAAGGAGCGCCAAACGCGGCGCAGCAAGGCCTGGCTTCAGGGGAAATCCAGGCGTTGAAACCCGGGAGATATCATCTCAACTGGGGAAACCCATCTTCAGGGGAAATGTTTGGTGGAAGATGGAGATAAATCGCCATGAAATGCCATGATGTTTTGTGAAGATATCATGTGGATGAAGATGGATCTGGTAAAACATGGCTGGCAAGTCCCCAACCTAATGGAAGCTTGTTGCTGGCAGAATCATCGAACTACATGATGGATTTTCCAGCAAGCCATGTTTGATTTACCAGAAAGTAGCAAAAAGTGTAGCGGAATATGGGATGATCTACGAAGCTGCAGCTAAGATGTCAGAATTCTGCAGCTAAGATCGGCAATGCGAATAAGACTTTGCAATCGTTTTCTAATACATGTATGAGTTATTAGTATATGTTTTGTATGTTTTTCTGCAATTACTGACTGTAAACTATGACATAACCAGAACTCCTATGTAGATCCGGGCATAGAACTTTATGATGGTTTGCAATAACATTGGTATCAATCAAAGCTGGGATGACCGGTTTTCCCATTTAATTCCCATCAACAGGTTTAATTTAATGTGAGGAATCGCCAATGGTATATTGATCAACAAGATTAGGGAGGTAAACCACTGATTGTACAAGGGCAACGGGTGACCGCGTGGTGAATGGATTTGCCAGTCAGTTATTGCAGCAAACTGGGGTTACTCTCCTTTCAAGTTGAACTTTCATCCACCTTTGTTCCACGTTCTAAGGTGATTTCAAATTCCAGTTTTGGAAAATTCCACCATTTAGTTCCATGACTTTCCCAGCAAACTGCCTTCCATGACTGGGGACTTGCCAGCCAAAAAGCCATGATGACACCGAGACGGCAACAAACATTCAAGGTATAAAATGTGTTCTATTAGTGTTCTATTATTTCCATTTATTTCCGGTATTTACCTTAATATGACATATTCCCAATTATGGCTCAAGTTGATAAGGAGCCAACCATGCTCGATCAGCCCTAGATTCCCACGAAATATCCCCATCACAAAGCACCATTTTGGATGCTGAGTTTCCCCAGTTGAGATATCTCCAACGCCCTAGCCTGGACGAGGCGAACTGCGCTTATGGTGGCGGGAGGTGCTGAAGGCCTTGCGGCCCTGGCATCAAAACGGACGTTTTTTGGGGGGATTTCACTCCCAAAGATGGGGACTATGCACCAAACATGGAGACAAATAGGACAGGATTTCTCAACTAAATCTGGGATCCGAATATTTGATAATTAAGGATTGACACCACCAAAAGATCCCATTTTATTCAATAACAATTACCAACAAACACCGGGATTCCAGAAACCAAAATGGTGGGTTGAGAACCAAAACCAACAGAAAAGGGTCAATCGCCGACATAAAATCAACGAACACTCAACAGAAGTGTGCTTTATCCACCCAAACGGGGCACTTCACCATCAAAACCGGGGATTTCAACATGTTTCTTGTCGCTTTGGATCAATGGAGCCAAATGGATGGCATCGCCCATGCGAAGAACGAAAAGAAACACAGCGACATTCCATTGACTTCCAGCATTTTCCGCACACCTTCCCCAACAACTCCCAACATTTCCCAGAAACATATGGGTATGGGTCATACCTATTAATACCATTTTTAGTGGGTTATTCACATCCATTTACCAGCTATTTTGATGTGAACTACAGGGGTACTATTGGTTTTGACACACTGCCATATGGATTTCAACCCATTTTCCCATCATTTTCCCTGGTTTTGACCACGATTTTCCCATCATTTTCCGGTTCGCCGCGGCCAAGGCACGTCCCCGGGAAAACCAGGCTCAAAAGGTGATCCTCAAAGCCTGGGATGAGAGAAAAACAGGGATATGATGGGGGTATGATGGAATATATATATATATATGTATATATATATATGTATACATATATACACATACACATTGGTTGGAATATATTCTGGGGGAGAGGTCTGGGATAAATTTGGGAACATTGGTGGGATTTTTGTTTGGGGACTTTTGGGCTCGAATCAAGTTGAATACGGGGATATGCCTTAAGTTTGCAGTGTTAAATATTCTTTTGGGAGTACATTTGACTACTTCCTTGTCGGGATTTGGATTTGGCCGCCGGATAGTAGCCAAACAAACATGAAGGTAAACGGCTGAACGTTTATTTAGCAGAGTATCTTCGGTATAATTACGTCAAAAGGAGATGGCTGATCTGTGATTCAAAATGACCAGTTGATCTGGGTTCTCAGGTCATTCTTTTTGACTCATACATTCCCACGTGTTGCACATCCACATTTTGCTGGCACATCCAAGTTTGACCCAACTAAAACCATATAGGTTTGTCATTGTTTCTCCAAAAAGCAGCCCAAAATCCGCTACTTTATCGTCACATGTTCAAAATTTAAATGTCAGTTCCTCTTGGGGGCATTGATGTCAATTGATGTCCCTATTTTCAACGATACCTCCAATGGGTCAAAGAACGCAGTTGCGCCGCTCGCCGACGCCAGGCGGATTGCACCACCACCGCTGCCTGGACGAATGTCTGAGTGGGTAGTGCTACAACTAAAGATGTAGATATATGGAGTTAGTAAGTGGGCAAAAAGCAAGAAGTACTGATAATCTTGTAAGCCGGTTACATGCATGGAGGAGGTAGGCAGGTAAGGGTAGGTTAGGGTAGGGTAGGTTAGGGTAGGTAGGGTAGGGTAGGTAGGGTAGGTAGGTTAGGTAGGTAGGTATGGATGTATTGATGCATGCGTGCATAGTAATATGTTTATATAAGCGTGGAATAGCAACATCCACGTCGGGAATCTTCACGATGAGCGACGATATGTCAACCTGTGGGCCATCCATCCTAAATCCTGTGGTTTTTGTGGTGAAAATTGGCTGAACTAATATGAACAAATATTTACCCTCTGGTAAACTGTTACATAACTATGGAAAATCACCATTTTCAATGGGAAAATCCACTATTTCTATGGTCATTTTCAATAGCTATGTTAGTTTACCAGAGGGTATCATAGCAGTATGGTAGGGAACCAGACCCAGCTCTGACAGAACCACACCTTTTTCTGCAGCAGGAGCGGCGCCTCAAACATCGGCCCTAGATTCATGGTGTTTTTCGATGGTCCAATGGCTGAATATCTATCTTTTTGGTGGTTTCAACCTACCCCTCTGAAAAATATGACTTACGAATCGTCAGTTGGGATGATGACATTCCATTCCCAATATGATGGATGAAAGTCATTCAAAATTATCTAAAATTCCATAAGGTTCCAGTCACAACCAACCAGATATATTAATCATTGATTATCATTATTAACAATTATAAAACACTATTAATATGGAAAGTCATTCAAAATTCCATGGTTCCAGTCACCACCAACCAGCTGAATATGCGATGTGGGACTCAACGCGGGACCGTCTGTGGACTGGAACCTCCACATGGACAAAAACCACCCAGTTTCGATGCAATGTCGAAAGCCAACAGAGAAATGGTGGATTTCCCTGACCAGCATGCCATATGCCATGTTTGCCGAAGGCTAATGGATGTAGATATATGATTTATGTATCATTTCCCGAGACATATCAGCCTCACAACTTACAACTGCTACAGCAGCTAGGCAGCTTGCGGAATCCGCCCCCATCCAGTGGAGGCCATGAGATTGCGGTCTGACTCTAGTCGGTCCTAAACATACTCATGCTATACTCATGCTATAGCAGCTACTGACTTTTTTATACTATAGTCATATGTAAACATAACCAACATAAGCTAACACATGATTCTGCTTGTGACCAATCGTATCAATATATTAATAGACTAAACTGAATATCTCAAAACATGTGAATGAAAATCACCCAGAATTCCGCTCCCGGAATCGGAAAGGCTCCTCTCCCAGGGAAGACGAAGGATCCACAGGAACCTGCCATAGCGGGGCAGCTTTCTTTCTGTTGGCTTGATAATTGGTTGATACCACGATGTGATTTTCTGTGGAATGTATATCACTTCAAACTTCAATCCATTTCTGCATACCAAATACTTTTTCTGGACCCTTCTTTTGCTCTTTCCGAAAGGATCCAACATGGTCATCATTTTTTTCCCCTGGTTTTTGCAGATTTGGTGGCATGCACCGCCATGAGTGACTCTTCAGTTTTCGCTGCACATCTTTGATGAACCTGCAACCTTCGGACCATCTACACCTTTGTCATCCCTGAGCTGGCCAGAGCACTGCACCAGGGCTCCGAAAAGCAATCATGTCCAAAATTGGTATCTAAATTGGTAACAATAAAGGGGCTATTGCTTCGGTATTTCAATTTATTTCATCATCATTTACCCTCTGGTAATTTAACATAGCTATTGAAAATGGCCATTTATAGTGGATTTACCCATTAAAAATGGTGATTTTCCATAGTTATGTTAAAAATTACCAGAGGGTACCAAACATCGTTGGTGGAAGGTGAACCATCGATCAACCAACCATAAAAAGGCCAGCGAAAATGACGCCGCGCCTGTAGTACTTCTCGCGGGGTCACGTTGCTGCGACCAATGGCCGCCCTTTCCTGGCCGAAAGTATCGCTGGGTACCAGAGTGCCACTGGTAAGCGACCCTAATGAGGATCTGGCCATCATTGTACCCCCATCTGAGGTTTCTCCATATCAATGGATTGGTCCATTGCTTCGGGAAAATCAGGAAACCATAGGTTTTTAATGGTTTTTACCATCAAATATAGGGTTTTCCTGCAACATTTCCCCCAAACCAATCCAATGACTGTAGCTTTTCCAGTTTGTTTTTCGCCAAATTCACGGCGCCTGCATCTCCCGCAACTCTTCCTCCATGCGGCGGAGTCGCTGAGTCGACTCCGCGCAGTGCGAGCAGCCCTAGGTCGAGATTTTTGGGATGAGAAATAAATCTATCATTTCATACAGGATGGTGCCCCAGTTCGTTAGCTAAGTTGGTGCCAATAACTCCAATTTCACTATGGTTTATGGCAGATATAACTATAGTTAATGGGGATGGGTCAATACCTATACATACCATTTTTAGTGGGTTATTCACATCCATTTTAACCCAGCTATGACTTGGGGTTCACTAGGTACCAGGGTTTTGACCCATCCCCAGATCTATGAATGCTTTATGGCCAGGATTGATGGTTTATTTATGGATGTCATTTCTGAATGGTCTTATGGTTTATGGCCATAAATCGATGGGATTTACCATCCAGTTCATGGCAGTTCATGGGATTTTGGAGATGGTTATGATTGGGTCTAGTCTGTATATGGCGTATAAATTATATGTGTACACATAATGCACATAACATGCACATATGTTTGCATATTGATCTCTAGTGACGATGTGTAGATACTATATATATACACATACATATACATATACATATACCTATACATATACATATACATATGGGTATACTATGATCTACCTCTGTATAGGTAGATGCACTTGTAGATGTAGACATGCTCAATTTTTCCTACTCAGGTTTCAACTACGGTGGTTTCACCCAATCCCACAACAACCAAGACAAGAGGAACCAATCATCCCACGCAGGATAGAAAGGATGGAACGGCCATCTCTGGGTGGTTCTGCCAGGATTGGTGGTTGCTTCCAATTCTTTATTTTTTATACAGGCTATATAGGCTATACATATCAAAAAACCATATAATTATATATATTATATATACACATGTATACCAATAATAGAGTTATATGTCAAACATATTAAATGTATATTAATTTAATACTACATATAGTGAGTTATCTATACCAATATCTACATATCTACCAATCAATTTTTCATGTGGGTCCACCAATCAATTGGCCATCCCCACCTGTTGCAGTGTCACATCCAGCGGCACCTCCGCATGTCGAAGAAAGCGTTGCAGGTTCAACGATGGTATAACCAAAACTAGAAAACATAGCAACAGAAACTAGAAAACTGTGAGGTTCAAAAAGGATTCTATATGGTTCTATGGCTTGAAAATTGTTTGGGAGCTTCTATATGGTTCTCGATTGGTTTTGTCCAAACATGATGGACATCACCGCAATTTGCCATTTCAACAGGACAGTAGCGTCGATGATATCCGGGATCCTTCGAAGCAACATCAATTGGTCATTTGGGGTCATTCCATACACAACAAACAAAAGATACTGTATGTTGTGTATGGAATGATCCCAAATTTGACCGAGTTTCCATCCATCAGTTGGTCATTATTTATGCCATTTGGGACCGAGTTTGAAGATACATTCAGTATCTGTTTTTGTGTTCTCCAGCAACATCATGACCTATTTTGTATAGACAGTAGCCACAGTATGACCATTGAACCCCCCAGCTGAGTTCAATCATCGTCACTTCGCACCTGCGCCCGCAAGGCAATCTGACCTTCCTCCTGCATGGCTGGGACGCTAGTCAGTGATGTCAAAAAAAAACTAGTGGTTCATAATGGTTAATAGTGGGATATTGGGATAGTGGGTGATATTCATGATTATTGATCATTCAATCATTCATGAAGAGTCATGATTGTTAATGACATTATTGATTAATGATTTGGTTCCACCTACGCTGAGAAAATCACATGTTTGTTCTGTTGGCTTCCAGCTTCCCACAGGACATCTCCGGCACGCGAAAAAAAAAGAGTCCTCAGCACGTTGCCTGGGAGAAATTGACATTGCATCCCATAGGCTCGGAGATCACAATGTCAAATGTTTGGAATACCAATGGGATACGTTATGGATGTAGATTGGAATAGATCGTAGCATGGTTGATTTATATTTGTGATGGGCTATCGGATATCGTTTTTTAAATACACTCCTCTGGATAAGTCCTAATAGAAAGTTCCCAACGCTGATTTCCGGATCAATCTTGATAGAATCCCCTATTTTTTTTACCTCCAGTATGGTGAGGTGGTTTCAACCTGGCAATGATCAACCCTCATCAACCTTCAATATACCCGGCCTGGTAAACTGTTACGAAAAACGATGGAAAGATCCACCGTTTTCAATGGGAAAATAACCACTATTTCGACTGGGTCATTTTCAATAGTTATGTTAGTTTACCAGAGGGTATCAAGATTGGATGGTTGTAAACTGAAAACGACCCCTCTTTGTAGATCCAACCAGCTCCCTCTTACTAAACCGTCCCCAAAGAGTTGCAGCTAAATTGCGGCTCAATGCTGGGCATAGACGACTGCAAATCCATCAGTGCTCGTTGCAGTTGAAGACACTCCTGAGCTCCAAAAAAACATCAAAACGGATGGCCGTTGAGGCCATCCATAGGATGGCAACCACATGGAACCGGTGGAAGAACATGGCTGGTATCCTCGATGAATCTGGAGCATCGCAGGATGGGATGTCAGCTTTGAAACCCTTCAGGATGTGTTCTGATGGAGTGGAACACAAATTTGATGTGGAGATGATTTACAGAAATTGATGAAACATGGTGACAAACATTGGTTGATGGGGACATTCCAAAGGCTTTTATAAAATTTGTTGAATTTTGATGGCTGCCATCAAACATCCCATCAAGGGGCCGTCAATTTTGGCGAAAGAGGCCTTTCCCCCCTTACAATTGATCAAAGGCTCATTGAAGAAACGGGCCACCAAAAGCTGGCCCAGCTTCAATAAATCTTCCTGCCGAGACAACTGGGAATCATCTTCCTTGGAAAGATGTATCAAACAATCTCCAACATCAAATTCTATCAGGAAACTGCAGACTCCGCAGTTTTTTGGAATCCGGTTTCACTAGGCAATCCATCGACAGCCTAAAAACTGTGGGACTTGGGGGCTCCAACCATTGCGTGGAGCTTTTTCCATGAATCCATGGGCTCTCTGCAATCGATTTGGGTTCGCCCATTCCAAGCTTTTTGGGTTTTCGAAAATCAAATCTGTGGCTTCTTCTCCATGCTAAAGCGCCATAGGGCCCAATCCCCATTCTTGTGGCCTGTGGGCATGCCTGCAGCTGCGATGACATTGAGATGTAACCCTGCACCAATGGAGAGACCTGCTCGAGTTGAAAATTTGGAAGAGATCGCTCCAGAATGAGGACAGGAAAACGTGAAACCTGGGGAAAATGGATACCCTCTGGTAAACTTATATAACTATGGAAAATGGCCATTTACAGTGAGTTTTCCCTTTAAAAATGGTGATTTCCCATAGTTATGTTAGTTTACCAGAGGGTACTGGAGGTTTTCAACAGCGATTCTGAATTGACCCAAGATCCGAGATATCGGAGTAGGGACAGAATATGAAAGCCGCCAACCGCATATCCTGCGAATGGTCTGCCAGTAAAGAGCGCAGCTGGTTTGAACCTGAAAACACATCCCTGGCTTTTTTGATAGATTGGATGACTTAGATGCAAAGTAACTTAGTTTTCCTAGGAAGAAGTGAAAATAAGTGAACCCACATCCAAACAGCTCAAACCCAAATTGAGGGCCGGGCGCTCTGCAAATTAAATTACTTCTCAAGATGTCAACCCTTTAGATAGTCCAGATTACCCCAGTTCCATTGCGTTCTACTGCTATCCGATAGACCCTCCAATGCCGAGCAGGAAACGATTAAGTTGAGACGGCAGCAAGCTGAAGGTGTAGGGATTTGGGGCCACTAATTCATTTTTTAACAGAGTACATCCACTTACAATAAACCCCGTCATGGTCATCCAATCCTTCACCAGAAAGCACAAATTCATTTACACATGACTTTCCTGAATTTTCCCCTGAAACCACTGAGATTTCCCAAGGGCAGGGATAACCACCATGGGTAACGGCAACAAACAGACGAAACATCCAGTCGTCCACCTCTAAGAGAGGCGCAAAGATCAGGGAGTCGGGGGATTCCAAGAGCTGTTGTAAGCCCTCCATGGCAAACAAAAAGGATTTTTTGCAGATTTCTGGATGGGAAAAGTATGAATTCTGGTGGCATTGATTCTCTGTTGATTTTCCTGATGCTCAGAATCAGATTCTAGGTCCTTTGTTGAAATCCCCAGGGTCCAGCGTCCACCACACTCAGGTCATGCTGGTGGAAGTTTTTTTTGTCCCGAAATGCATGTGACGTCAGAAGAGAACACATTTTTGAGGTCATGTGAGTCCTGTGTCATGTTTGATATCCTGTGAAGTATCGGCAAATGCCCTGACTCCCAAGCGTTGGATTCGCAAAAGTTGCGTCAACTCATTTCCAACTCTTCAAAATTGAGAACCAGTCAGATGGACCGCCCACATGTGGCATCTGCATGTGGCAACACCTTTGCTTTCTTCGAATCTCCGTTTTAATTCAATGCATCTTGAGCCGCAGCCCGAAACAGGTCTTACCAGGCAGAACATTGCGTTCTGTGGGTTTACCATTGTACCTCCTGGGAATGATGGACCTTTGATAACATGCACCATATTCCATCAATGGTTCAATATTTTTGGATTGATCAACCATTCACGATTCCAATATTCCTTACAGTCCTTACATTCAGCATCGTCGATGAAATTACCAATGGTTGGCTTCACCATTACCCCAATAGCCCAATGGCACCCCCCTCGGACATTTTTTTTGGCGAGTCGGATTGCGCAGTGGCCAAACAAACAACGCCGATGTACGAAGATTAAGAAGTGGAACATGACTTGTTGTTTCCACAGAATTAGTAATAGTCTGGTGGCGTCATAGGTTCAAGCAGTTCACGCTTCTAAGCCAGAATTTACCGGTCAAGATCAAGTTGAGTAGGAAGATTTCCTGAAGTTGACCTAGACAGGACCCATGTTGCCCCCCTTGGAAGATAGCGGCCGGCTGCGAGGCCAAAAGGGATTGTTGGTTGATTTTGGTTGCTATCATTGACCCCCAGTGTGCAACGACATGCAAAACCAACACCCTGATTGTTCATCGGTGAGGAGGGATCAAAAAGTGTGAACGTGATCGAACATCTTCACTAAGTTCCTAAATTGAAACTTTTCGGTAAATCTTGCTGCATGCATACACGCTGAAATATGAAAGTGGCTGAAACCACCAATCGATTTATGGTTTATGTAACCCTCTCCGGGTCAATTTTGGCGGGTGACATCCCCAGCTGTTTCTATAGCGGCTATCCCCCAAAAAAGATGCCCATTCCAAAATTGTGATAAACATGAAACTGAACCACTTTTCGGTATCTTTGTGGGGGTTACTATAGATGAATCCCTATGAACATGTGGAAATCACCATCTCCCCAATATCGGTTACTGTGGGCAAAACAATACTAAACCACCCATTTGGGCATGGTTTATACCACCTATTTGGTATCCAAAAAGATTCCCTAAGTGGCCTCACAGCACCGCACCCCACGCAGCACGCAGCTGCGGAGAGCAAGCGCCTCTCAGCCAACCGCACCCAAGCTGTCCTTGGGAGTTGCTCTGGAATCCAGTGGTTCACTACGGTTAATACAGTTTTTTTTCTTTTTTAATGGGTGAATAGTAGTTGTTAACATATTTCTTTTTATGGGCTAATAATGGTTAATAATCATTGGTTAATAGTGGTTAATCATTAATCATGGTTAATAGTGGTGAATATGAGTTTTTTTGATCGTTGTCGGTATCAATGGGTTTATGTTTTTTTTGGGGTGGTTCACAGCCACAGCACTGACCTGGGATGGGTCGGGCCGAATCATAACGGCAGCTGCATACTGGGGCGATCCCATGAACCCTCTGGTTATGGCTGACAGTTCGCCATGGAAAATGGCCCATTTATAGATGGTTTACCTGGGTTTACCTATTAAACATGATGATTTTCCATGGCTATGTTAAATAACCAGATGGTAACTGGGATATACTGAGGGGAAGCTTCATAGAGTCATACTTTTGAGCGGTCCCTAGATCCTAACTCCCAAAAACTCGTCCCAAACGAAGAGAAGTTGAAGAAGGCCGAGACTTCAACAGTATGATCCTTGTTAAATTGCTGTGACTGCTGGAATTGGGATATTTTTCCACTAGAAAAAGACTGGCAGCTTCTGATCCCTGGGATTTCAGGACCTGGCTTTGTGAAAACCGGTACCAGGCTACCACAGGTGGTGAACTCAGCCACGTCATCACTGGGGCCCTGACCATGACGTGATCCTTGGCGGCTGGGGTGCCAAATGGATGGATCAACAGCACCAGTGGGTTTCATACCCCCCATGGCAGTGGTGGATGCGTTAAGGGTCCGGGGCAACAAAAATCAGTGAGTCCGAAGCCTTAAAAAAGGCAATCCGAGTTGTAGCTGTGGCGGGTAGAAACCAACCACGTAACAAGGACTAGGAGAACATCTCAAATCATTTATGGCATGTAGTCTATGATCTTTATTTTTCAGAGCTTCGGTAACTAGGCATTCGAGGCTGATGCAATTAGACACCAAAAACACTTGTGGCAGTTACTATGACAAAGATCTGGCGACCTTTAATCCCTGTCATACAGTATCTGTATCTTCAACTGCTCAATGGAGGCAACCAATCTCCAAGTTTTATGGACAGGTTCCAAGTTTCCCGTTCTAGTATCAAACTCCACCCCAAATAAGGGCCGCCTCAAGGAATTATAAGATAACATAAGTAGTCGCATTGTAACTCTGAAGCAATGCAACTACACCTGGTATGAGAATAATCCTGGAATACTCATGCACCTATCACACAATTATTCTACAATTATCAGTTGGCTGTGTCTGAAAATTGGGTATACATACCCCTCAATGGCGTTTTTTTCCTGGGAACAATGACCATTTTCAATGGGATTTTTGGGTTCCACTGGTAGGTTTCACCCAAGTGGCCGAGATGGACGCCACAGAAGGATAGTCGAAGATCAAGGTGAAGGGCAGATCGACCCCCGGCAACTGCGGCAGTGGAAGTGGAAGTGGACTGGGTCACCTGGTGATGCCTGGTGATGGGGGGATTGGGACATGTTCACCACATTTCAACACCATGTTTTCAGATCGATGGTTTGAGTGGGTGAAAGGAACTCAAATGCTGGAGATTAGAAGCAGATTTTCTTGTCAGTGTGGAGGTTGACTCCGCAAAAAGGTTGGGTCAAACGTTCCAAAAGTGTCTACTTAAAAGGTGCAGTTGGGGTTTGACTTGGATGTGATTCACCAAAGTTGCAGGGGCTTCCCAACTTATGGGGGTCAGATTTGGCTATAAACAATTCGAACCTCAACTGCACCCCGCAGTCGGCACTTCTAGCTTTACCATTTTTGACTGCACAGATATCAACGTCAAATGGATCGACCCTCATTTTGGGATCCATATCCGCAAAAATGAATGGTGTACGCAGTGAATTGGTCCTAGAAATTCTTTCAAAAACATCTTCAAATATCTGGGCAAATGATCATAATTCACTAACCTGAATAGTTGGGTCATTTTGGGATGATTTCCCCAAAAACCATGATTCCAGGCTTCGGGAGAACAGTGAGGTCGTTAAATCCCCCATTTGGGTCGATCCCCTTGGACCTAAAACCTCCATCTTCGGGCTTCCCAGCCATGTTTGATGACAAGGGGATTTATCCCCAGTTTTATCCATTGGTTATGTTAATATCCCATCAGTATCCCATGATCAATTCCCCAACTATCCCATCAATAGGCAATTTTATAGATGTCATTATATCCACATGATATTCCATTAGACCAGCATTTCTGAGTCCATTGGTACCTCAATCATACATTTTTGATTGGAGATGATCCATCCGAAATGTCTCCAGTGTAATCCATCACAAACCATCAAAATTGATGATACCCTCTGGTTATGGCTGACAGTTTGCCATGGTTAAGCCATGGTTCATAGATTTACCATCTGGTTATGACTGACATAGCCATGGAAAATCACCATTTTTAATAGGTAAACCCAGGTAAACCATCTATTTCAATGGACCATCTATACCATGGCGAACTGTCAGCCATAACCAGAGGCTATAGATGCTTTACCTATGAAAATCGCCACGGTGGCCTCCTCGCTGAGCATGTTCCGCAGGCCCACTGCCGTGCGACTCGTCACACCCACCTGGAGAGTTGGGGATGAAGTTGGGCCCCGGAAAAGGCGGATGTATGGCTGATGAATAGAAAAACCATAGAAAAACCCATCCAATTTGGGAGGTCAATAAAGTTGAATTGTACCCCGTGAGTCAAGACTTTTTGAACCACGTGCCATATGAAATCCATATGAGGGACTGACAATGTGATTGGTTATCAACCCTTTTTGGGTCACAAGGTGGAACAACTCATTTTCAATCGTGTGTGATGTAGATGATTGGATGTTGATAAGAAAGTTCAATCCCAAAAAAACAAGAGTTCAAGGCTTCAAGGTTTACTTCTTCAGGCTGAGAAAAATAACTTGAATAAAACACTTCAGTATCTTAGTTGAGGCCTCCAACTGGCGTTGGATGTCGGTTTGCCAGACCATAGGGTGTAATGGAAAGGAGAATGTGTCATTTCCAATTTGGCCATATGATTGGGGATAGATCCACTATTTTCAGACTATTGTTGTAATTCTCGTATATCATACCATAGTTAGTTCATAATATCAAATGTATTCAAATGTCTCATTATGTACCCAGTACTATTCATTACTTTTTGATATTTTTTGATGGGATATGCAGCCGGCCGGGATAAGCATGATTCACCACTGCGCCTGCATGAGGGGCTGATCGAGTTCGATGGGTTCATCGTCAAGATCCGCGGTGAACCTGGCCCAGCGGTCAAACATCTTGGCTGGGAAATCGGTGCGACATAAAGGTTTATAGCTGGGAAAATCAACTATGGTGAATCATTGGATATCCATTTTATTTTGAGGTATGTGGGGGTTACTATGGGTGATTAGTCAGTTATATGATCAGAGAAGACCCTTTTCCGGAGCAAAGTTAGAGACGGACCAGATGTCCGGAAAAAAACCCAGCAAC